GTTGCAAGTTTCTAACTAATCTAGAATTCTGGATGTGATTGTAGTATTTGTAGTTTGTAGATCTAGATCTATATTATTATATTATTAGATATAAGAATCTAGTTATTTTTTCCTAATAAACTGTACTGTACTAGATCTAGATCTAGATCTAGAAAGATCTAGATCTAGAATAACTTTACTGGTAAAATCTTAGTTTAGCGTCGTAAATTCGGCCAAAACTAGTAATGTGGGAGAGAGTTAATTTAATGAATATGTCATTAAATATGAGTATATTTTCGTATATTTTGATAAATTATTATAGATAATTGAATAATAGATCACCATTGATGTTTAAATCAATTTAAATATCCTGAAATTAATTTTTATCAACCCTGTTCGAGATAGTAAATTTGCTATTAAAAACAGCAGCCATCTTAAGAAAATGTTATTGAGAGTAGCTTCCCTTTAATTTCTATTCATATGAAAATATATTTAAATATGATCGTCTTGTTGTGTAGTCCGTATTACAAAGCATTTTTTTTAAAATGTGAATTTCCTAACAGACAACTTTATCAATTCTAGAAGCATTGTGAGATGCAACTTGTATCCATGTATTAAATCACGTTTTTTTTTTACTAATGTTTATTTGATCTTACAATTACTAAATAGTTGTGAGTTTTTTCTTATTGTTTGAATGCTCACTATTTTCATTTCAGGTTTTTCTTTTCATCAATTAGTAATTCTATCGTAACTTATGACATTTTTTTACTTCTCTTTACCTTAATTAAACCCCAACCTCCGTCATATTTTTGTCGTCAATGTCACAAGTCATAATGTAAAAAATTACGCTTCACTCTGCCTTATCTAAGATCTCTAACCATAATTTTGACAACATTAAATGTTTGTCATCATTTATATATACAGAGAGACAAAATGTATTATCCACCAGCTTCCCTCGTAAAACATCATCTAAAACAATGAGCCAGTCCACCCCTTAAGTGCGTGTTGTCATTATATATGGTCGATCGCAAGTCTCAACCTGCCAGACACATTTTGGTTATCCTTTGTTGTCAAATTGTCAATATCAAGTACACAAGTGAGTGATATGGGGTTGTCCATAAATGATGTCACATATGATTTGCTACGGGAGTGAGTGAAGATTTGTGACGTCAACCCAGGCGGCTTTGCAATTTATGACGTGTCGGTCTCATGAAAGGAGGTGAACGGGGAAAAATACCTAGGTGGTTGATGGAGAACCTCTATAATGCTTTGTTCAATCAAAATAACGATAAATAAGCATTAGTATACGTATACCTTGCTTAAAACGAATCATCACAAATGTTGCAAGCCTGCTAGTTTAAGACATTCGGCAAAACGGCCTCAACACATCCCCGTCAAAAAGGCTTGCCACCAAATGCCTGCCGACGAATATGCCGTGTCTAATGCGGGGCGTTAGGAATACGGCCATTAGCATGGGCCGCGTTAGAGCACTAGTAGGCTATCGCGCTTTGTAAGATGACGTAAATACTTAAATTCAATTTCGCTAAACTAAGCGAAAATTTAGTAATGTTCCATCGTTTGAGGAAATTTATTTTCTTGGACTTAAATTGAAATATCATGTTGACTGCCTGGCTCTTAATTTTACGAATATCACTTTTAATGTATCAAGATTCAGAACTATAATTTACTTTAATAAGTGTCATCTTATCGTTTATTGTGGTTTTTATAAAGCGCAGAGCAGCTTCAAAATCGGACGGCCATCCTGTTTTCACCAAGCTTCTTTTGGAGCTTAATATGGGTAGTCTAGTTCTATACGGTGAGAGCTTAATACATTTTTAAAGGGCCGAATGTCTCAAGACAGCAAGCTTGCAGAAATAACTACGTACGTTTAAATGGACGAGTGATAGATGTATTAGGGGCCGTTTAATGAACACCAACTTATGTAATCAAATTAAACGTCGCAAAAGCGTCAAAAAGGCAGTGCTTATTTTTTTTCTATAAAATTAGCCTAACGGTCGGCGGTACCGCTACATGACGTCACGTGCGAGCGTTAACTCGGTGACGATGTGCTAAGTGGGGGAATGAAAAAGGTGGGGTTCAAGAAATGCGACTCGGCAAGCTTTTTGCATTTCTTGACCCTTCTTAATAGTTCTATCGTCCCCACTGAGAAAATGGATCACCAATGAATGACGCGTCATACTTCTACAGCTGGTCTTTCTCCCACAACCATCCCGTTTTCACGAAAAAAAAAACCTGACCCGTCTCCAAAATCACATCGCTGAGTTCTATTCAACCTCTCCCCACCACAAATCACAATTTCTATCTGAAACAATATGTTCATATGTTTGCTCTGTAATAATGCACGCTGTCATTACTATCTTAAGAGCGACGTCATTTATGAGCGATCTAATATTGATTTGCTTACTGCAAATAAAGTGTTCAAAAGTTCGACCTCCCAACAATTGTTGTGGTCTTGGATGCACACTATTAAGTCTGATAAGGTCTATTAGTCATTCATGTCAACTATATTAAAAAAAAGAAAAATTACAATACAGGGGGTCATCCATATATGATGTCACGCTTTTTTTGACGATTTTTACCTCCCCCCCTCCCCTTCGTCACAAAAAGCCAGAACCCCCCCCCTAAAATGACGTCACACCTCAGCCTACAACCCCCCTCAAAATTGCAGTTGAATTGTTTTTAAACAGCTATATTTTTCCAAAATCTTGTCTGAACTCTGTCAAAATAGAGTATTTTAATCAATTGTTATAACAATGTATTAAAACAGTTTTTTAAAACGCAAAATAACGTCTAAAATTCGTTTTCTAACATTGCTTTTTTAAAATGCAAAAGTGTGACGTCGCACCATCTGAACCCCCCCTCCCCCTCATCACACAACGTCACAAAATTACGGACCCCCCTCCACCCTACGAGTGTGACGTCATTTATGGACGACACCCGGCATATATTAAAGCAATACAAAACAATCATATTAAACCACAAAATCAACACAAAAGACATGCGAATAGACAATTTATTGTTTTTAAAACGTGGCCGCTGCTTGTATTTACTCATTGTTGTCTCGAACGGAGTAGTTTAAAGTTTATTCCAGGATATTTATGACTGATTTGGTCTTGGATTGTGATTTGTTATTCAATTATCTGCTATATTATGTAAAATATGACATAGATCTAAATTTGGCCAAATGAAAGAAATATTAACTCTAGTTACCTTCATCGCACATTACTAGCTACGTTGGAATTTACGACGCTAAACTAAGATTTTACCACTTTGCTTTATAAAATAACACAATGAGTTAACTTTTAACAATGACATAGACTTTGTTTGATCAACGTCAGTCTCTCCGTAAATAATAATCTATCTTTTGCATAGTGAATTCGTATTATTCCAAAGATTTCGTCTGCAAGAAAACAAACCCCAACCACCAACGTGCCACCATCAACACACATTCATGGAAAAGCCTACGTGAAGGCCATGGGTATTGATTTACAACACCAGTTTTAAAATGGCTTGCTTTTAGAATATTTAATAAAGTGGTGTTTTGATGTATTTAAATGTTAAAACCTATTAGTATTTTTATAATGGTTTATGAATGATGATAACATAGAATCATTTTATACAGCTACCGACCATGCTGACACCCCTTCCAATAATGAATATTAGAAAATACCTTTGTTCGTGTTTCTATTTTTACACACTCGCGTGATGAATGTGGGTGATTCTCCACTCAGGGGACATAATACTGTAAACAACGTTTATTTATATCTATGAGGATTTGTGACTCCCCTTGTTAGAGGGCAATCTGTTTTAATTCTTGCTGAGGGATAATATTCAGTTTCTTCCAGGCATCTCTTCGGGGGGGGGGGGGGGGGGGCGAAGCCCCCCCGAAAAATTTTTACCGCCCCCCCCCCCGAACGAAATGAAATTTATATAATTTATATAGAAAATATATACTTTTAACAGTGTCCGCCCCCCCGAAGAAAGTTTACCGCCCCCCCCGAAGATTTCAAGTGCCCCCCCCCCCGGAGAAAAAAGTCTGGAAGAAACACTGATAATATTTGTTTTTTTTTTTCCCTTTTCGAATTATTCAATCTAAGTAATTTAAGTCAAAATAAAGTTACACTGTAATTTAAAATTGAAGCTATAGTTGTAGCTTTTTTCAGGATTATTTTTTGTATCTAATATTCGTGTTGACTTTCCTATATGGAATTCTATATGGAAGGGTTGTAATATTATATTGTATGTGTTGTATGATGGGAGATTGTATTGACGTATTCGCAGGACAAGCAGCAGTGGCGTAACGAGGTCGGGTGTCACCCGGTGCGACACTTAATGGTGTCACCCCCAGAGGCGCAGCGACCCTTCCCGGCGCCCGGGGACAAACTTACAATTTTCTACTTGCACCCCACCCTCCCTCTCAAACTTTCGATTTGCACCCCCCTCCTTCCACCCTTGTCGGGATTTGTCAAATTTGCTCTTAAAAGACTTTATAACAAACTTTCGATTTGCGCCCCCCTCGAACTTTTGATTTGTACGCCCCCCCCCCTCAAACTTTCGATTTGCACCCCCACCCCCTCGAACTTTTCATTTGCACCCCCCCCCCCCTCAAACTTTCAATTTGTTTTTCCAACCCATTTTGGCGCCCCCCCCTAAGGTCGGCGCCAGGGGACATATGTCCCCCCCCCCTCGCTACGCCTCTGCCAGCAGTACAAAAGTTGTACTTTTTTTTTTTACC